TGCACCAATGTCTCAACTTTTCATTATCCTCATTTCCATCCCCCGGCTCCCTCCATTTCTCACTTTCCTTCTAACCTTGCTTACATGATCAGTCATAATCCCTTCTTTGCATACACTCTCACTGCCTGCCCCTACTCATCCTTTGCATTTTGAGGTACAAGACTCCTGGTTAAACCCAGCCCCTGACTACACTTCAGGTGCATTCCATAGCTGAGAATAGATAAATGGAGAAAAACACAAAGCAGCAATGATTGGCTCATTTTAAATGTACCATTATGTGCCAGCTTCCCTTGTGTCCACAGTGCAGTCTGGCAATCATACTAGATTCTTCTAGTCCAGCAATTTTCAACAGGTGTGCCACAAGGATTTTTTAATACATCTAATATCAGGGACACTGACCTCTTTTCCCATAGATTGAAACACACACACACACACACACATCAACAACAGCCAGCACAACAATAGGCATCCATTGTGAATGAATCAACAGTACACCTATTTTTTTTGCCAGATCAGTAAAACAGATCAGCAAAACATATTTTTGGTGTGCCTCAGAATTTTAGTAATTTGTTTATGTGTTCCAATGAGATGGAAAAAAAATTTGAAAAATCACTGTTCTAGTCCATTCTTTCTCTCACTCTCATAATCTCTACTATATCTTTAGACACTCAGTCCCAACTTTATTCTCAGCTACATATTCCACTGAGGACCTAAAACTACTTAGCAGAGCCCCACTGCGGGCTCTCCCGGCCACATCCGCCTGAGAGCCTCTGTGCCCATGCGATCTGCTGGCTCTCCTGCTTCCAGGGATGAAGCATGGAACAGCAAAACGTGGCCATCTATGAACCGGAAGTAGGCGTGCACTCCCCATAGAATCCGCTGGAGCCTTGAGCTTGGACTTCCCACTCTTGGGAACGCTGAGAAATACCTTTCTGGTTTTTTGCAAGCCACCCAGGCCAAGGTATTTTCTTACAGCAGCCGGAACTAAGACAAAGGGCTCTGTGCAGATCCCACCTCTGAAACCCCTGCCCTGGTTCAGCTCTGCTAGGCCTCGGAAATGCTCCACTTCGCCAAGGGAGCTCTGCGGGGTCCTCAGCGTTTGATCTGCAGGAAATCCCGAAGCTAGTCCTCCTGGGGGAAGCCTCCCCCTCCCTGCTTCCCTGGAAGCCCCAGGTCTGTCCTGCAGACTGTCAAGCTCAGCCCAGCTCCTGCTCAGGCAGCCACGGTGAGATCTGAGAGCAGCATTTAGCTTGAATCCCTTTGCCTTTGGTTGCACCAGGGGCTCTAATAACCGTGTGTTTACATTGGCACAGAGCGTCAGCCTGGCTGTGGGGAGAAGGGAATCTGTGATGTGGTGTTTCCATGCCCCGTGTAAATGTACATCTCTGGATGTATGTGTGTTATACCCCTCCCCACACACACTTCTGTATAATCTAACAACTGGAACAGTGGGTTTTGTCTTTTCCCCTAGGCATTTTTCTCACAACAAATTATCCTTCTTAATTTTTTTCCAGAGACAATAAATCTGAATTCTTTGAATGGACTCTAAGTTGTGATTTTCAACGACATTTACTAAAATAGTTTGGAAATTTTTCATACTTACAATGTTATCTTCTATTGTTTTTGGTTTGTTTGGTTTTGTTTTGTTTTTCTTAAATATTTTTATTGATTTCTTAGAGAGAGAGGAAGGGAGAGGTAGAGAGAGAGAAGAACATCTTTGTCAGAGAGAAAGATTGATCAGCTGCCTTCAGCACATCCCCCACTGGGAATGGAACCAGCAGCCCAGGCATATGCCCTGACCAGGAATTGAATTGGCAACCTTTTGATCTACAGGATGATGCTCAACCAAATGAGCCACACTGGCCAAGGCTCATCTGATGGTTTAGCTGTACAAAGAAGTTAAATTAAAACAGAAAACAAAAAAACACACAGATATTTTAGGTGTCTCAGGAATATTTCAGCTGCAGTTTACACATTGTTTAGAAAAATGTTATTTTTACTATTAAAAAGTTAAATAAGAAATAAATTATGCCAATTATGTTTAATAAAGAATGAATAAAGTCAGTGTTTTGACTTGTCAGACTCAGTGAGATGCTGTTTTAATATGTGTACCACACAGCATCTACATTACTGTTCACAACTATTACGGATTAAAGAAATAAACACAGAGTGTTTATATGACTCCACACAAACCCTAGTTGGTGATAGGACTTGGACTTGAGCCTAACTCTTCTGTTCTTGATCCCACATGTTCCAACAATATTTGTGATGACTGGGCTGAACACATTTTCCAGAACTCTCTTTTCTATATGTTTCCAGCTAGAAGGAGAGATTCCTGTGGGGTATTTAGAGAGCAGGCATGAAGGAGCAGTCCTTTGCAGCTCCCTACATCATCTCTGACCTGCTGGTTCACTGAGTTGGTGTGAGGAGTGGTGGGCTTGCAACTGTTCCACCTTCTCCTGAGCCCTCCGTCAGCTTTCCTGACGGTCAGGTGTGTGTGTGTAGTTGTCATAAAGGACTCCTGCTTCTGTTGAGATAGATGATAGATAGATAGATAGATAGATATATAGATAGATAGATAGATAGATAGCGATTGATAGATTCCATTCACAGATTTAATGTATAGATTCCATATATATAGATTCCATAAGTATTTAGATTCCACATATAGAATATCTATCTATCCAACTATCTACCTACATGTATACATTACATATAATATATATAAAGATAAAAATCCCCTAGTGGTTCAGCTTCTCTAATTGAACACTAGGTCATATCACTACATTATAAATCTGATTCCACTGAGATAATAAAGGCCTTATGGACTTTTATTCAATCTTTGAAGTTGAATATTTCCTAAAGAGATCTCTAATTTGAATAGCACTTTCTTTACTCTTTTTTTTAAAGGAAAATTAAATGAATAGATGAATGAACAAATGAATTTATGAAAATCTTTGCCATTCACAGCAAACATGTTTTGTCAACATATGAAATACTATTACTCTGTTATATATTTTTTTAAGATTACACAGCTAGTACAGGGGAAGGACTAGGAATTAGAGCCTTTGCTTTTTTAAAAGTTTATTTTTATTGATTTCAGAGAGGAAGGGAGAGGAAGAGAGAGATAGAAACATCAATGATAAGAGGGGATCATTGATTGGCTGCCTCCTGCACGTTAGACCGAGCCGGCAATCCAGGCATGTGCCCTTGACCAGAATCAAACCTGGGACCCTTCGGTCCACAGGCTGATGCTGTATCCACTGAGCCAAACTGGCTAGGGCCTCTGTTATCTTAATTCATCATGAGCAAAACAAGTCCTTTTAATTTTGAATCATTTAAGTTAGTCTTTCTCTTTCTCCATTTTTCTTACTAACACAACTTCAATGAGAAGTCAAGGGTCAAAGTAAATCTTATAAAACTTTTCTCTCATTTTCTCAACATCTAAGCTCATGTATCTCCAGGAACTTTATCCTGCCATAAATTAAGTTTTTCATGGGAACTATGTAATAAAACATTGTTTCACTTCTGTGGTGGCAGAAATCTGCTGACTTTCCCTTCTTTTGCTCACGCAAAGGAATTCAGTGGACACTTTAATTTGATCTACTGACCACCGTCAGTAATAAAATACAGCAGGAGAAATGGAAGAGAATACATGCATGCTTATCTTTGACTCTCTGTATTCACTAAATAAATGTACATTATTTTCATGAGTTATTTTTAAAACAATGCTTTCCCTAGGGATTAGTGACTCAAAACCATGAATTTACAATCACCAGCCAAATTTGCGTCTTGACCAGAAACTTTGTTAACATGGCTAACCAGCCTTGTTTCTGGCTCTGGCTCCACATTTCTCTGCCATGTTTTCTGCCCAAGGGAGCTGCAGGCTTTGAACCATAAGTTTGCCTTTTGTGAAATGTTAGATAGGGCACCTGCTGCAGGAGGAACACAGTGGTGACTCGGACTGGAGAAATCCTCTGGTCCCATACAACCTGGCCCAGGGCCGGGGATGTGCAATTTTTCCTAGTTCTTTCACTTCAAAGCTGAAGAATTTTCCCAGTCTAGACTCTGTGGACTGAGTCAGAAGCTTCGGGATGCATGTTAGCCAGCCCAGTGTAAATTCATGCCCAGATCAGTGGTCCAACCTCCCTGCATCCTTCATCAACTTAGAAAAGCTTCCCTTCATGCCTGAAGCTAGACAGTTTCTCAACTGGACCTGAGAGGAAGTAAATGGTTAAACATGAAGCTGACAGGTGCTGATTTAATTACAGAGCTCCTATGCAGGGCAAGGTGCAGCTTCAGTGCTACTCGGTAGACATGCAGGCGGTAGTCTCTGTCCCCCTGGAACTTGAATTCTGGCACGGGGAGACCGGCAGTAAGCCATGGATATGACAAATGCAATATGTTGTATGTTAGAAGGTGCTAAGTAACTCAGAAAAGAAAAAGTAGAGGAGGTGAAGAAGGCTGGGTGAGTCGGGCTTCTGAGGGGCACGTCTGCAGTATTAAATAGTGTCATTATTGCACCCTATTGTTAATTGCCCTTTTGCTGCCTGATTCTTCAGTTAGACAAGCTCAGACAGGGTAAGGATCCTGTTATGCCCGACACCTGCACAGGGCCTAGTTCACAGGTAGGTGCTCTCACAGTATTTGATGTCTGGCCATTTGTGAAGATGAAACCCAGGTTAATATCCTTATAAGCTTCCTTAATGCATATACTAAGGCATGTGTGTATATATGCATATTTAGGGATTAACTTAAATATTACGAAAAGTCACACAAACTCTTTTTTCTTCTGGTTTACACTTGCTTAATAAAACACTTCACTGTACAACTCTAATCTCATCTCTGTCCTAATCCAGAGAAATTGGGGTCCACAGGTACAATTGGAGATTTAATAATACATAAAACTAGTGGTAGATACATTTGTCTTGCTAATTTGGAAAGTGGTCGCTTTAATGATAGAATGGTCCGGCTGTCTCTCTGCCTTTCCCCAGCCTTTCAAAGACTTCCACAGAATGAGAGGGTTTCCCAGGGTCTGAATGGAGACCTTTATTTTTCCAATGTTCTCCCAGAGGATTCCCGCGAAGACTATATCTGTTACGCCAGATTTAACCACACTCAAACCATACAGCAGAAGCAACCTATTTCTGTGAAGGTGATTTTAGGTAAGTGTTTAGCTCCCTGAATCTGTCTTTCAATGATGTGTAAAACATATTAGCCATTAAGTACTACTGACTGAAGTAAACGGATTCATTGATCAGGAAACTACCTGTGAATAGTGACTAAAGTGCTGCCGAATGTGTTATAAAGAGCATGCATACATACCCTAAATACTCTGCAATTTTTGCTATCATTAACGTTACTGTTTTCCTGATAGCTTTGTGAATTCACTTGAAGTTCTGCGCATTTGCGTGTGATTTATGCCCCATGAGGCCTTCAGTGGGCAAACCTACAGCTTCAGTTATATGTTCACATAATGCTGGTTGGGGGTGACTGAGTAAATTAATGAGTTAGTCATGTACAATGTAAAGCACTGTTTTTAGTTGGTAGGGATGGCACTTGGTCAGCATAGCTGGGTGTGTTTGCTTTCATTGCCCAGTATTTTTTCTTGCAATACCTTCTCCCCTACTTTGTACATTCTTCATAATATTCTGTTTATTTCAGTGGATGAATTGAATGACACTATAGCTGCTAATTTGAGTGACACTGAGGTTTATGGTGGTGAGTTATGGTGATTGTAACTGATAATCTCTCCTTCATTGTAGAATTTAGTTCACTAACTTCACCTCCATGGCTATTTAACCTTATTTCTTTATGAAATTCCTAGTTACCACTAGAATAAATGTATGTTTCTTGTGAAATTTAGCTATAAGCTTGCAAACATGCCACTAAAACATTTTCCATGTTGTATGTATAAGAATGAAAATTATTATAGCTGTTTTCATGCAAAGAACCATTTCACATAATTTTGAAAAAACGTTCATGTGTGTTCAGAATTAGATTATTCATTTTTTGTCTTGTTCATAAATTTTTCTCATGAACTAAATAATTGGCAAAGTGCATTAACCTGCTTGAATACTAACTCTTCACCGTCTTAGTAACCTTTAGCAACTAACAGTAAGTGAATTTTGATCGCAAGTCATCACACTTCCCATCTGTTTTCACATGACATTATGAATATCGTATAATTAGCAACAGTATTTCTTAATTTTGTTTAAAACCCAGTCATTATCTTCAGTAGAAGTAATTTTTTACAAAATAGAGCATTTAACTTCATTCTTTCAAAAAGAAAAGAATTTGATTTCCTAAAGGGAAATGTGGATCTCAGGTACAGAACTGATCATTGAAAATTATGGATTCTGGATATGGGGTCTTCTTAATTATCTAGAAGGCAGAATTTCTGCTGCATTATTTTTTTACCTTTGAGTATGAAATAAAAAACATTAAGGTTCTATTAATCACCAGAATAGACATGCCACCGCTCCTGTTTTATTTTATTTTTAGTGTAATATACTCCTGAAAGATATAGGCCTCAAAACCATTCCCAAAGTCATTTCAGAGGAGTAAGATTGCCTCTAACTTTAAAATCTTGGGAAAACTATAATTTTACAGTATTCAGTTTTTGTGAGCATCAAATAGTTAATGCATTAAAGTTTTGAAAACTATAAAGGTCTACAGAATCAGAATATGGTTTGCTTTCTACTTTAAGTTTTTCTCAGAGTTCACCAGAATATAAGACCACATTTAGGCAATATCCCCATAAGAAAGGTGGCCTATATACATCTCCCAGAGATCTCTGATTTGAGCCCTCTTTATATTTTCATTGAGGAAACCAATTTCAATTTCTTTAACTCCATTATTAGTCTTAATTTGTGGCAAAACTTGCCAGACCTCTATTAGTAACTTTCTAATTTTGTTTTGTGTTGTTTTGTTTTCTATAAACCTTGAAGTTTGAGGACTTTGACATATTAGACATCTACCACAGATTTATCTCCATAATTAATCAATGGAATTGAGTGTAATGTTGTCCCTGGTGGAAACCAGAATAGCCCATCCACAGTCATACCCTCAGAAAAATCTAACATCTTCTAGGAAGTAGACAGCTAATTTTGCTTTGAGCACTAATTTTACGTGATGTTTAGTTTGAGAACATGATTTTCCTTTCTATGTCTACATTGTGAAAATTTACCTGTACACAAAAAAATTCATGAAAAATATTACAAATTAAGAAAATATACGAAAGGAGAATAGTTCTTACTATTAGTGTTCATGCAACCAAAATTGTTCCTATTCCTGGGTGGCTAAGTGAGCAATGGCTATTTGTAAGGCAAAGAGTGTGCATGTGTAGTTTAACAAATTTTACAATGTTAAATAGTTTTGAAAAGGGATTAGATTTTTAGGCAGTGAACTGTGTTTCTAGAAATACATATTCATAACTTTTAATGCATATTGATTTTCTCGTTTGCAGCTAAATCAAGTAGAGAGAGGCCACCAACATTTTTAACTCCACAAGGCAATGCAAGTAACAAAGAGGAATTAAGAGGGAATGTTCTTTCGTTAGAGTGCATTGCAGAAGGACTGTGAGTTAATACTTTGTGTCTTGGTGTACATTTCTTGTAAAAACAAAATCAATTGGTAGAGAAGTATTAATATCATAGGAAGAGTCACTGTCTTATATAATTCCATCAAGCATCAAGAAATATCTGAGAATTATTTCCAAAATAGGCCATATAATCTCATATTATTAAAACATTTTTAATATAATAGTGTTCCTCATGAAATAAGTATCAGTTATCACCTTATGATTGCTACAATTATAATTAGGGTGTATTATTTTGCTACTGTGTGTAACGAACCACCTCAAAACTTAATGGCTTAAAAACAGTAGCTATTTATCATTAATCATTTTTCTGCAGGTCTGCAGGGAGGTTGTGCTAGAATGGGCTAATCCAGCTGATTTAGGTTGAGCCTGCTCATGTGTCTACTAGGTGGCTCAGCTATGGGTTCACAGTTCTGAGGGTGTAGTGCTGGCTGTCAGCTGCACAGCTGAGCTCTTGGCCTTGAATTTCTCACATCCCTCTAGCAGCCCAGCCCAGGCTAATTCTTCTAGCAATAGAAGCACACACAGCCTTTTAGGGCCTAGCCTCGGAACTGGCACAGTGTTCCTTGCACTATTTCCTACTGTAAAGTCACAAGCCCAGCTTCTTTGCAAATGTCTCGTCAAAATCGATGTCACCCCTAGAACCTATGTGCCCTTGGCAGGAGTTGCAGGAAGGCCTCGCTCAGATATAAGAACAACTGTTACATTAGGTACACATTAGAGACAAACTTCTACCTAGTCCCTTCTGATACATGGCATAGAGCAAGTGCCATTGATATGGGCACATATGCTGAAAGCATTGAATAGACTCTCAGAAACATGTTGTGATCACATGTTTGATCTGTGCTGATAACTCAGCAGTCTCCTTCCCAGAACCAGCCTTTAGGAATGAATGGAGGCCTCTGCTGGCCGTGGCAGGAAAGCACACCACACACTACTTGGTTTCTCAAGTACCTGAAAACTAGCAAAGCCCTCATTTAAAGATTCATTAAGTATATATCTTCCCCAGTAGAATAAAAAAACAAACACAAAAAACAAAACCCTTGCAATTTTCTTCAACATTGTGTTAAAAAGTGGTTGAATCTACCAACCTTCAACCTTTTGGGAGTAGACAGACCCGTTCTCACAATTTAGTGATTCTCCTTCCCACATGTGATATATTACATAAAAATCTAAAATATGGTTGGTATTTGGAAATTGCATCAAACTTCCAAAATTTTTTTTAAAGCTTGGAATGCTGTAAAACTAAGATTGGAGCTCTATCACTTATAAATCAATAAACATGAGACTCATAGAATAAAAATATTTCTAATTCTTAACACCTGCTCCGTGGAGTAGCAGGCCTCCAGAGCAGTTCATGACGTAGCAAAGCTGTGATCTCATTCTTCTACCCCCACTGCCCTTTCACCTCCAGATCATAGGAGATGCAGATTAATCTGACTGTAAGGAAACACCGTAGTGTGCTATCCGATTCCACGTGTGTATGGTAGCTTCAGCTTTTCAAAATGATTTCACATTTTTGCCTCTTTTTATATTCACATCATGTCTTATTTTAGAAACCGTTTCATCAAATATATGTGTGTGTGTTAAATTATTTTTATTTAACCAAATATATCAAAATCAATTTTTAAAATAATCAATTAATCCCACTTGCATTTCTAATGACAAATATTGTGATCTTCCTGAGGGCCTGGATCATTCTTTCTTCATCTTTATCTTCCCAACACACAACTCAATGCTTGGTCTCTAGTTCTGTGCCTAGTAAATGTTTGCGTCGAGTGGATTTTTATTTTATCCTCATGAAAAGCTTTTAAAGCCACTTGATCGAGTCAGGCATTATTATCCCCAGTAAGGCAGCTAAGGAAACTGAAGCCCAAAGAGGCCAAGGAGCCAAGGTCAGAGAACAATTTAGGAACAGGGCTGGCACTTGAAAGCAGATCTTTAACTCTAGGCCTGTGTTCTGGCTTTTCATCGGTCTCTATACTTCATAATTGAATAAGACACACCGTGAGAAATGGTGTAATACATGAGTTTAATCTCTTCTTGTCAACTGGTATAATATTTTAAAATATCTCTCTATATATAAAAGCCTAAGTGACCGTTACAACCGGCTGGTAGCTATGATGCACACTGACCACCAAGGGGCAGGTGCTCAATGCAGGAGCTGCCCCCTGGTGGTCAGTGTGCTCCCATAGCCAACCTCCCGCAGCCAGCCAACTTCCCGTGGTCACTCCCCCCTGGCCAGGAGGCCCTGATCGGCCCCAATTGCCGGCCAGGCTGAGGGACCACACCCGTGCAAGAATTCATGCAGTGGGCCTCTAGTTTGACAACAAAAAGGAATGAAGTATAGATACATGCTGCACAAATGAACCTTGAAAAACATTAGATAGGAAGCCAGATACAAAATGTCACATATTGTGGAATTCCATTTACCGGTATGAAATGTTCAGAATAGGATCTCCATAGAGGAGAAAGTAGATTAGTAATGCTGAATACACTAAAACCTATTGGATAGTATACTTTAAATGGGTGAATTGTATGCAATGTGATTCATATCTCAATATAATTATTAAAAAATAACTATGTAACTAACTAAAAAACACACTAGTCTGTAGAACTCTGAGTGAAAGTTTCTTTTCCCATGGGAACATTAGTTGCTTTACCTTCAACATGGTTGGGATGAAGGGCAGAGTGATATTGATTAGTGATTTATAAACTTTTTTAATTGTACCAATTTTAAAAATAATTTTTATAAGAAACTAACAAATGTAAAACAGATAATCAACATTTTTCAACTACAAATTAATCTCAATGTTAAATTTATTACCTCTGTTTATTTAAAAATATTCAATCAATCAATGAGGCTTTCACAATAACTTGACAATTTAAAAAATTGTGGATCAAAACTACTCAAAAATTAGAAAGTGTGAATCACAATAACAATCCTATCAGCATCAGAAAATATTTTATTTCTATGTTTTATTTTGTTTTAATAATTCCAGCAAATCCTGGCTCTTTTAAATAAATAGTTGCAAATGGTTTAAAATTTGTTATTTGTAATTAGTATACATTTTTAACTAAATGATTCTAGAATTTGAGGTTGTTGTTTTTTTTTTTATTACAAAACAAATACGTTATTTAATACAGATACAAAGTTTGAGCAAAAAAATAAATATTTCTGGAATATAGCCTTATTAAGATGATCAATGCTTCATATTTACTTATTACTAACTGTAATTATAGCACACATCAAAAATTTGTGTCCAACCTTTACCTGGAATTGAATTAAGTATGACGTGCAGGCTATATGAAAATATTTATCTTCATAAGTTTATGGGAGTAGACACATGTAGGCCTTGATTTGGAACACCAATACTGAGTTCGAAACTTTCTAAGTAAACATTACTACTGAACATGACATATGTGCCCACAAGTGCCTACACGTGCACCAAGATGGGAGAGCAGGAAAAGCTATATTCTGAAGTCCTCACACTCAGAAAATGAAAAAGTCATACCGGAGCAAAGTAATCATATGATGGTGTCTAATATGTTAAAATTTGTGCTTATAATTTATTTTAAGTTGTGTCATTTTAAAATTACAATTTTAAATATAATAAAAAGATATATTGTTTTAATGTAATTCTAACTAAATGCCTTATGTATTTGCTACATAGTGGCTAAGAGTTTTTTAGGGTGGACTTTGAAAACCACTAAACTACAGTTATGCAGATGTTCTTTGCAGGTCTAAAATTCTATTGTTTTATTCTCTTAAGTAAGAGTGGAATCTGTTTTAAAGTGTGCATAAGTCATTTAACATTTTAATGCCTTTTATACAATATTTTAGGATTACTGGCTCTGATACATTTTCTCCCAATAGCCTACGGAGACATAGAACAAAATAACAACCAACAAAACAACCCAGAAAGCCCTATTCTTTCCCACACATTTGTAGTTTCTGTTTCACTTACCAGAGAGCTTTACCTGGTGCCCAGGAATAACTTTTAACTAACAGTTTAGATGGCAGACACTTCCTCACAAGGCTATGCCTGACCAGAGAATTGAAAGAACTCCAGGTATTTCATGCTATTTATTGGGCAGGTACTATGCACATAGACTTATGCCAACAAAATTGTAATTTCTTAAGGACAAATTGTATCCTGTGTGTATTTCCTATCTCACTATCCCCTTCCCTATGTTGCATTTACATGTAGACACTGGGAATTCTTAGCACAGTGCTAATAACATAGTAGCCTTAGAGATCTATTTAGGGCCAGAGCAGACTTTTCAATATTGCATATATATTTTAGAGATTAGAGAGTATTAGACACCAATTTTACAAGATCAGATATCTAAGACAAGATAAAAATAGATTATTTTCTAAATGACTCTTATAATAGCTGAAACTAGAACTCAATTCTCAAATCTTATGACTATTTCACTACCACATCATACTATCTTTAAATATGTTTATGTTTTATCATGGAAACAATATAGGAATGATGTTATTTATGTGTGTTTGCATGAGAATGTATTGCTGAATATAAAAAGATGTACTATATGTGTTTCTTATGAATGTATTTCTAGTATTTCTATATATATGTGCTTATGTAATAATATAATTTATATATGTACTTACTCTTATAAATTTATCCTTGAGAACTTCATAATATACAATGTATATTTAATTTTTTATTTAAACAATTTTACAATCTTCCAAAATATCTTCCACTGAGCTATTAGTATGTTAGTTTGGTAACTAATATGTTTATATCTCTAATCATAGTAAACTACTTATATCAGTTCATATTAAATAATACAGTTCTAATGTAATAACTATTGCTAAGCCAAACATGCATTTGATAAGATTTAAGTTCTATATTTAATATTATATAAATATTAATTTACTTAAGAAATATATTGAG